GCACGTAAAAGGTATTTGTGATTTACCTACAGTGAAAGCGAGTTCATCCACTAGTTTACGACAATTTGCGGACAGTTTACGCGGTCATATATCGGCATTAAGAACATTGAAACAACGTCCTTCAGAGTGGGGACCGTTATTAACACATATTATATGTACCAAATTAGATGCGGTTACTATTAGCGAATGGGAGACGAAATGTGCGAGGGATGAAATTAAAGAAATCGACGAATTACTCGAATTTTTAGAAGCCCGTTTTCACGTATTAGAAGCAGTCGAGTCGTCTAAAAAATTTYACAATATTTCTAAATATAGTACTGAAATCAATTATACAGGTCGAAAAGTTCAATACACAAAAAACAACACATCATCTGCTTCGTTAGTAAATACCTCAGAATTAAAATGTTATGTATGTCAACTATCGCACACTATTTACAAATGTCCAAAGCTTATCGCGCTATCACCAATCGACCGAATCAAAAAGGTAAATGACCTCAATTTGTGCAATATATGTCTACGGCGTCACGACAAAAAAAAGTGTTTCGAGCGATATTGTCTGAAATGTGCTAAGCCATATAATACCATGTTACATGTAAACAATTATAAACACCAACAAAGTTCAACATTCGAAACATCGACGGCAAGCAGTAAAGCTGCGGAAGAAACGGCCGTATCAAACACGGTGACCGCCCATGCATTTGCGTTAGATGAACAAGTATTGCTAGCTACAGTAGTAGCTCTAGCTGTGAGTCCCTACACAAGAACAGCAACAGTTCGAGCTCTGTTAGACTCCGGGTAACAGAAAAACTTTATCACATAAGAGATGATGCAGACACTGCGTTTAAAAAAAAATAAAGTCAAGCACGTAATTAGCGGTATCKGGAAAATAGTACAACATGCGTCGTCGGCAGTATGGCTAAAAATAAAATCTCGTGTAAGTGATTACTCGGTGTATTTGCCGATGATAGTGGTACCAAAGTTTACGGGTCAATTACCTCCACGAAATATAAAAACCATATACAATGTTCCCGATAATATTAAATTGGCCGATACACATTTTAATACGCCCCAAAAAATTGACATATTATTGGGTGCAACACATTTTTATGAATTCTTATGCGATGGACAAACACATCCTTCGACTAACGGACCGTTGTTCCAAGAAACAGTATTTGGATGGGTAGCTGCTGGACCAATATCGGAAAATAAGTTATCAAAAATATCGACGTCGAACTCATTTTTTAGCATGACCGAAAGTGAGCCTACACTAGAGAACGTATTACAGCAATTTTGGTTGATAGAAGACGTAAGCGACACACCACCTTATACAATCGAGGAACGTACGTGTCAAAAATATTTTAAAAATACCGTTA